TATCTGATTCCCACCATCAGATGGCTACCTATCTGCTGTACCAACCTTGTATTTCTAATGCTCTTACACCCCAGATGGCTTCATATTACCATTATCAGTCTCAAAGGAATATTGATATTGATATTGATATGATGAGTGATGGACAAGAGTCTCTTATGGACACTGCTAGCGGCAGTAACTCACAGACAAGCTTGATGGAATGCGAAGATTGCACTAAACAAGCTTCAGAGCAGTTTTGCTATTTCAGTGAAGAGATCCAGTGCCAGCCACCTTCACTTGCAAGCCCATCCACCAGTCAGGTGCTAGGAAAACCCAAAGCTACACTGTTGTCACGTATTGATGGAAGCAACGAGGGTGGAACGCTGGCAATGTTTGGTCTCGAGAATATAGTTCAAAACCCACCCGAGAAACAAACTCAGCCTGCCCTTCCTACAGAAGGAAACCAATTCCCATGGGTTGGTGGAAATGTTCATCCCTTTGAACCTACAGTTGCTACTGGATGCAGCGAACAGCCATCGTTTTTCAACCAACCTTCCAGTGTAAGACAGCCAGGTCCTCTTGATGCTAAGGAAACACAAGCTCTGCCGTCAAGTAGCAGCAAAGTCCAGGCAAATGACAGTCAAGTTAGGGTTTTAGGAAGTCATTCTCCGACAAACCAAGGCATTTGCGCTGTCCAAGATGCAGTGTTTACTGGAGTTACCCAATCTGTCGAGAGACATGAAAACACCGAGGCTTCAGCAGAAGCAGATGCGTCTGGTTGCCCTTACCCGCCGGAACTTGAGGATAAAGAAATCACACCTAGTAACAGTGATGTTACAGTTTTACCCCAACCTACTGAAGGAACGCAAGAGAGCGAAGGGCTTTCTCCCGTAGCTCCCAGCATATTGGATCTTCGTGCATCAATAGATAGTGAAAAGTTTTCACATGAATCCCCTCCAGTTGCTGAAAACCTGGAATACCTTGAAGACCACTTTGCGTCTAATAAAGAGTCAAGCAATTCAGTTAATGCATTAGCCGCTGAGGGTAGAAGTGACAAGACTGCGAGCTTGAATGAACGGCTCTCGGGAGATGATGCTGCACATTTGAATGAAGGGTTTGAAAAGAAGTTCAGTTGTAGCATTGAAACTGCTCTCCCACTTACCAAATCTATCACTAATGAAACGGAGATTGATACTCTTGCAAGTTTATTGGAAGTTAAGAAGACAGACCGTTATCATGACGAACCATCAAGAATCAATAGTCCCGGAAAATTACTTCTTGAGAACTCAGCACGCTTGGAGGATGAGACTCGTTTAGCTGTTTGCCAGCCTTTGCAGTATTCAGTCGCATCAAACAAGGACAAGCCTTTACCGAAAACATCCTCAGACGAGAAGTATTCCATATCGTTAGATGAGAACCAAGTTGAAACCATCTATGAGCAGCCTTCAGCTCCTTCGAGAGCTTTGCGTCAGGCCAATGAAGAAGGTACGAGTGTAGTGAGTAACAGAAGGAAGGTCATTGTACCTAGGAAAAGAGCGCCAAACTGTTCAGCTGAAAGGAAAGTCATTTTACTTTGTGATATTTTTGGTGAAGACAGACGGCCTGGTAAGTAGGATATATTATACTGTAAAGACATGTTACCAACATGTTCATAACTAAGTGATGGCGCGCGCAAGTTCAATTCACTTTACATTTTTGGCATTTCTCTGCCGTCAATCATAATTCGGTAGTCACGCCTCATAAAAAACGATCCCCATTCCCCGCGAACGGCGGATATGTTGATTTTTCTGTTGTTGTCCTGTTTATTTATTCTTTTTTTCCCCATGCAGTTTCTCGTTCTCATACTTCGTCCTCGCTTCCCCGTTGCCTCTTTTTTGTTTTGCAGCTTCTGACGCACGCTATTCTTCTCTGTTGTTTTTATTGTTGTGTTGTGTTTATTTTGTCTGATTGTTGATTTTTCTCTTTGTTTGTTTTGTATATTACGTATTAGAGTGAAGGCATTTAACCCGTGAAATACTTTTTTTTGTCAACGTGTAATAGTCAAATAGACACAAGAGAAAACAATGGAATTAGGGTCTACTAAAGTGTATTAGTGAAATAATCATTTCACGGGTTTAGTGATTCCACTCTAGTTTTGTTTTCAATTATTTTGTTTGTAAGTGGTGTTTTGTGTTGTGTCATGTGTCTGTCTTGTTTTGTTTTGTCGTGTTTGTTGTCCAGTTTAGGCTTAGTTGTTATCAATTTATTTTCGCGCTCGTAAAGCAATTTTATTTATTTTTTGGTTGCAAGTAACCTTTTTGATCATTGTTCTCTTTTTTCTCTCTTAATCCAGGACTCCAGCCTACAAGACTTTCCGGGATGAAACGCCTAAGAGAAGCCACTAACGATGCTATTAGCGAGGCAGAATCATCTACACAGATAAAGAAAAGACGACAAGTACATTTTAGTGACGAAGTGCAAGTGTGTGAAGACACGCTACATAACCAATTCCATTCAGGTTCCTTCAACTTCGTCACTAAACCTGCTCTTCCACGGAAATCGATTCTAAAGAATTTTAAAACAAGAATGACTTGCAAAGGATAAGGCATTTAGAAAACATTATCTAGTGATAGTCGATTGACATTTAAAATYACTAATATTTATATCAGTCGAATATTGATGTTGATATTTATATAATATTTATGTAATTGTGTGAATTTATGCATATGAAGATACACATACTTAATTTTTCCTGATTGTATAGCCATTAATACTCCATATTTCTCAAAACTCTAACAAAAATTTTTGCAAAGTCATCTGGTTTTTTTTTTTCAAATTCAAAACTTTAATGAAAATCCTGATTGACAGATCGATCTTTGCCGATTTTGTATTTATAATACGCAGTATGCTACAGTAAAGTTTTATAATATTTTTAAATCAATGTGTGTATTTTTAAGTTATTATAGAACAATTTCAAAAATCGTGTCGCGGTTCCATGTAAGGTTTATTTAAAAAAGCCAAGACCGAAGGGTTTTCTGGGTAGTTTATCCTGGGCATTTGGAAAGTGTTTGCATACAGACGACACATGCTGAAAAAGTGAGAAAATATTTCGGTTAAAGTGACTTGAGTCTGTGTTTGATAGCCGCAAAACTTGAATATAAGTAATATTCGCTCCATTAACTGTTTACCTAGATCACCCTCCGTTAGTCTGAGCTTCTTTAATTAGCTCAACTTTTTGAGCCCGACAACGATTTTGGTAAATAAATAAATTCGGTGTATCCAGGGAATACTACATACCTATGCCTCTGACCTCCATTCTAACTGGCGGTAGAGCAGCATTTATAGAAATAACATTTCTCCATAAACAATGGATTTCGAAGGTAGTACCCAGAGGAGGAGTGACGTCTATCCCATAGTGCTTTGCAAAGCGAGATTTTCAATATGGCGGCAAGTTGTCACTTTGACAAACAACGAACCCGAACGACAGAAAGAATTCAAGCCTAATTTTTTCAAAAAGTGTAGTCACTTAAAGATCTTCAGTTGCTTATTGAAAAAAGCGAAAAAAGTGGAGGTCAACAACGTGGGTAATTCCAATTATTCGCATCGGATTTTGTTCCAAATATACGTACTTTTTGAGTGGAAAGTGAAGGGTTTCAACGATCAAAAAGCCTAGAGTAATCTAAACGACGGATSTTAAGTTTATCTAGCATTTTAAGTTATAAAATTTATTTGACGCTATGCAAATAAGCTTCAAGCTGAATTCTAGAAGCAAAATCGTACGCAATTCGGCACCTCAAAATACATTCCTTGTCGTTATAGATATGTCGAGAATTCGGTGTAATTCGGTGGCGTGGACAGTATTTTTATTTCTCACACTGAAAGATCAATATTCAAAGCTTTGAATGCAATGAGGAAATAGGGGGTCACTGACGTACAAATAGACTAGCTACAAGCGCCTAAATTTGCATTTTCCGATCCAAAATTGGGTTCTATTACTTTATACATTCCCTTGAAACTTGTGAAATTGTCTTTGTAATCTCCAGGGACCCTAAAACCTATTTTGAATTGATTTTGGAACTAAAAAGGTCAAAATATTTTTTTCGTTCATTCATTTTTACAAAATCGTATATTTGTCAATTTTGAAACAAAACCGACCAGGTCAGGCAATAAAAATCTTAGCATGTTTCGAAAAACGCCCAATTTTACCTAAGAATTTGCATGAAATTACGAAACATTTTGTCAGATTATAAAAAGTTAGTCAAAGTTAGATATTCTTTGGGAAAATTTTCAAAACCACGCTAATAAATGGTAAAAAACGAGATGCGCGAAATGGATGCGCAGTAGTAAAGTTCCGGAAATACCTTAATACTTACTCTATTTTCAAGTATCCATAGCTACTAAAAGTCAAGATAAATTAACCATATCATCTCAGTTCCTGCTGACTATCAATCCAATGATATAATTTAATTTCACTGCAATTCTCGGTAAAACTCAAAGAAGGAGATAGATTAAATCGTTAGTTAGTAATAATGCATGTTTGTACAAGGAAAGCCTGAGTGACGAAAGTCGGGTCGTTTTGCCTGATTAACTAGAACTCGCAATAACATTACTGGTTGGTCTATATGAAAAGAAAAGATTAGATCAACTTTCTGGCCACAAATAAAGCTTAATTACGTCAACTATTATCCTACCATCGCGGGGAAAAAATCATTATTAAACCACTACATGAGACCGTTTTTGGGGCAACAACGGTATTTTTCGTTTATGAAGCGCTGCTGAAAATGATATGGCATTCTATCGGATTTAAACCTAAATTGTAGCGTATTAGTTAGTTCAAAAGAACGCTTCCAAATTGTCTCTAATCCTTTCCTGTGGTTTAGGTATTTATTTTTTAGCCTCGTGTAGGAAAAGCTAAACAGAATAAGTGGGAAACAAGAGGATTAGGAAGGATGAAAGTCAGAGGAAAAAATCATTGTTGAAAAGGAGAAAAAGATAGGGAAAGTGAAAGCGAGGCTAGTGCCAGTCTTCCTCGGTGGGCAATAAGAAAAATGGCGGACGGATAAAGCATTTGGTCAAAAGATATTTTGCCTCAATCGGCTTTTTTATTACTTCCTGAGGCTTCTATCATGGCGGAAAACAAAGAGGGAGACGTCTTGACGACTCCGCTTTTGAAAAAGCGTGAGGACGTAGAGATGAGCTCTGTTAACTCGATGCCATCGATCGCCATCGTTCCTTCACGTCCAAGCAAAACCCACCATCACTTAATGGAACGAGAAACTTCAGAAAACTCTTCTGTTTCGCTACACCAGGTAAGCTAATAATATCCTTTCAGATAGCAGCCGACACCTCTTCTTTTTCTCCTTGTTCTTTCAGCTAGTGAATTTTTCAGAAAGTAAATTTAAGTCAGTTCAACACGTCAACCTAAAATATTCATTTTCTACGTGAGTTTATTCTTCGAATGAATAACTTGTGTTGTTCTTCTTGAATTTCACAACAAGGAGATTAAGAATACAATTCAATGTTATACCTGCAACTCAAATTTAGTACTCTACGAGCAGAATGAAATTTACTTTTTTAAAAATTTACTACTATTGTTTAATTTCTATCTTGTATTGGACCACGTAAACCTTTTAATAAATATATTTAATAAATATAACCTTGATGAAATATTCAAAATAACTTCGTTGATTTTTATCGTGGATTTACTTAGTCAAGAAAAGAAAATATAGAAATGTTGGATCTCTCAAAAACAATTAAATATTATCGGGAATAAGGGAATAAATTGTTAAATTATTTTAATACGAAAAATGAGTTCTCGGGTTAAATTTTTAAACATAAATTGAAATTAAAATCTAGAAATGCTAGTGCAAAATATCATACTCTGTTGAATATTATAAATATTATTCAATTCAATTCTATATGGAGTATTTTCTGTTTTCAAATCTTTCTAATATTAATTTATTTGATGTCTCAAAAACTTCCACTCTATCAGTACAATCTTGAATATATATTTCCTCTCTTTTTACTGCAATCCCCACTCACTTGCAACCAACTGAAACCTAAATCACAAACAAAATATTGAGTGTTGGTGGATGTCAATCAAAAGGGTTTCTTAAACATGTCTAAGGATTCCGACTCCGAATTTCAAACACAAAGCTAAAGGTATTGATTTATCTGATCTTGAAGAAGCTCAAATCATAGTCAATACTGATAGCTTTGCAGTCAAGCCATTGAGATTTGGAGCCGGAATCCTGTGAAATTTTTGAGAAAATATATCCAGAGCGAGAAATTCACAGGATGAGATAAGAGCAACAGTTTTTGTACGTGCACACGTGTTCACATGAGTATTAACGCCAGCCCTGGTGTAGAAACCAATAGAAACGATAGAAACCCTTTTGATTGACGTCCACCCAAACTCAATTTTTTGTTTGTGAAAGGTCTAGTTGGTCGCGTGTGACTGGGAATCGCAGTTATGTCATATCAAGGTTTTGCCTCCAGAGTATAATTCACATAATTTAAATTCTAATCATTTTTGTAGTGGGTGCACAAATAAACTGATGAACACTGGTTTCTAATTTGGTGATCTTAATTAACCCCTCACATTAATCAATCACCGCTACATTCTCGTTTAATCCCAAGTTTTGTTCTCACTAGCAAAAATTGTAAAGTCTCTTGCGATTGATAATGGTGAATAACAAATGTTACTTGATGCAAACTTTTCAGTCCTTCAATTTCTGTACTGTAGTCATACTCAAAAAACTTAGCTAGTTAGATTTTTGTCTTAATCTCTATTAAAAATGAAATTTTGCAAGTTTACGAGCATTAATTTTATGCCCTGCAATTATCAACTTAAGTTTTTATTTTTAAATTTATGGCCATTTTCACAAAACTGAGTGTGTTATAAAAGATCTTTCCACTCTCCTAGTTCTTAGTGTCAGGGGCTCATAATTCTATATTCTATGGGCTTGCCCTGTGTTTTTTATCAGTTATAAGAAATAGTTTTATTGAATAGCTGTTATTACAGTTGATCCCTCAATGCCACATTCTTTTGTTTTCAGAATCATACGAGTGAGATTATGGGGCTGATACAATGCTTGTTGTCTCATTTGCATCTCATTTGCATGCATTTTATGCATTTATGCTATCTGCTATTAGATTATAATACATTTTATCCTCTATTTCACTTCAGATTGACTGAAAACCCTCAGCCAATCTGTTTGGATCATGTGAACTTGAGATAATAAATGTATTAGTCATAGGTTTTTGAGACTRGGGCAAGTTTTCAATTTTTATCTAATTGGCAAAAAAATAAAGTCATTTGAGAGAGCATCTCAGGATTAGTAAGTCGCTGCTTGAAAGTGTGATCCCCAGTCAACTCACATGATTGATAGTAAGCAACACCAAAAGATATCTAGTAAAAAGAAAACGATTTCACTACAAAGTGTCATGTACTCCATTAGATCAATGTTTTTGAATCATATAAATTGTAAGAAATAATGCATAAATGGCAAAAGCAAAAGTTTTTGTTTTGAGCAGGATGTTCCCAAGACTGCTATGTCAGCTTATGTGGGTGAACTATATAAAATTGTGGTTCATTAGAGATTAGCAAATTTAAGAGAAAGATTTTGTGACTGTCATATGGAAAAGGCCTATTTATTCAACATTTATTAATTTCATAATTTGCTTGAAGAGGCAAGTAAATAGCCAATGAATGGAGGCTTCGGGGAAGCAACAATATGATTGGAATGTGTAGGTCCAGAAATTATCTATTCTCTCCCCCCCCCCCACCCCCACTGCTCCCAGAAATTCCAATTTTCTTCCATACAAAGTATGTAATTTTGTTCTTTCTCTGGCCCCCCACCCCACCCTCAGAATTTCCAAGTTCCTCTGTGGGGGTGGGGGGATAATTTCTGGAACTATGCAATTATTCTTATGTTTCTCTGGAGCATCAACTTGGATTTTTGTTTTGCTCAATCACAACCAGAATGTTGAAAATTGGCTATTTACTGCTATTCAAGAGAATATTTTCTTGCTGCTATGTTAATAAGCATGTGAACTCAGTAGTTACAAGCTGCATGCTAAAATGTGGTTTTTTGCTGCCGTCAATCAAAAATAATCAGTCGGTACCTTTGMTATTTTTGACGGGCAACAGCAAAAAATCAAATTCCAAATCGCAACAACAGAGGTTGCATGTTTATAAAAATAGAAGTAACTTGGTTTTTGGTTTCTTGTCTCAGGCAGCAAGAGATGGTAAAATAGATTTAGTAAAAAGACGGCTGGAACAGCTTGGTAAAGGACACAAGAAGATCAACCAGCAAGACACGTATAACACAACACCGTTACACTATGCTGTCAGGTACAACCATGTTGAAGTGGTGAAGCTGTTGCTGGAGTATGGAGCAGGTAAAATCATTGTTATCTTGAATCAAGAGAACACGAACTAAGAGCAGGAATCTCTGGTATTCATGCTTGTAACCATATTTTTAGAATCACATTTGCCATCGTTTGTTTTTTCTGCACGCGCATACTGCGCGCGCTCTACGCTGTTTGCTCATGTTTTTTTTTTTGAAAATACAAGAACGCATTAGTATGGTTAGCAGCGATTATACTCTGGAACAGGGCAGTTTATCGAGAGAGCATAAATGAGAGAGGGAAACTTCTTAATAACGCTCGCGCAATGTAGATTCCCAATGTACCCTACTCCCGTGCGTCATCAACTTGCGCGCGCGCGTACTCTCCGTTTCGTTTTTAGTGATCCATCTGGAACTCGGAATTTTTTTCTGAGTTTCAGCTCTCCGAACACATATCCTTCAGACTGAAAGACTCACCATTAGAGACCTTTAGCAAGACGTTCTCGCTAGCCCGGCAAACCTCAAACTGCAGATCGACGTCAAACGTTTTCCATCAAACTTTCGTCATTTATCAAGGCGTTAAAACGAAGTCGGAAGAGTGGACATTTAAATTTCGTTGATGCCGCGTGTTTCTCCGTGTTTGCGCGCCTGATTCCTAGCGGTTAGTGGGAAACACGATGCTAGATGTCTCTATTTTTTCAAAACTTATAGATATCGAGGCCAAAGGTGAGGATGAAGCAACACCACTCCACTACGCCGCGAGATTCTGTTTCGCTGCAAAGCACAGCTCCCGTGGAACACCGCGCACGTCACGTCGGACTAAAGACGCCTTACCTAAACCATCCGCCAGCACGAACGATCTGGTTGGTATCACGTTAAAAAAGGACGAGAAAGAAGAATGTGGTAGTAGCAGCAGTCTCAGCAAAGCTACAGGAAAGGAACGGTTGTTTGGGAACTTCACGAAGAAACGCGAGTCATTGTTAGGCAGTAGGCTCTTTAAGGATTTCCAAATAGGAGAGAAGAAAACTACTAATGTGAAGGACAATTCAGCAGTGAATTCAACGCAGAAGAATGGTTCTCAGGATACGATGATAGGGTTTTTGATCTCGCAAAAAGCTAAAGTTAACGCTAAGGATAGTTATGGTTCCACCCCGCTACATTATGCTGTTGCAAAGAAGAATATTGAAGCTGTAAAGGAATTGCTCAAACAGCCGTCTATTGATATTGAGGTAAGGATTGTCGTCCAACTTGGCTGACACTTTTATTCTGCTTACACTTATATTTGGCGGGAAAATGGTACATTGCTCCCCCCTATTATCGAGGCCTCTCTACACCCCTGCCCTTAGAAATGATTCTAAACTGCCTATAGTGAACTTGTCATCCAACACGGCCGCCACTTTAACTATTTTCATCGGTATTTTGAAGGCAAAAGACAAGACAAAAATGACTCCACTCCACGCAGCAGCAAGCCACGGTACAGTCGTTGTCACTAAATGTCTCATCGAGGCTTCGGCAAATCTTCGGAGTTTAGACGAAGAGCAGATGACTCCACTCCACTTTGCATGTGTGGAAGGCCATCTTGATATCGCTAAACTCCTTTTTGAAGCTGGTAAGTTTGCTTATGAACTTATTGTGACAAATCGAGAAATGTCAAAACTTTTTAGAACTATGATCAAAAACGCTACCCAACTCCGACAAGCGTTACAAGTAACGCAAGATTTGCGTTACTTTTGGCTAAGTTTACAGAGTCTCTGAAATTGATATTTTTAGAAATTAATTGTACGTAATAGAGTGTATGTCACCTTGGTGAAATCTTTTTCTCTAAATTATACAAAAAATTTTGAGATACTCGTCAAAATACAGGAGTACTTTCGAGTACTTTCAGGTTCAGTACAGA